TTTCATACCCATACAAATTCTCGTCCTATTCTAAAAGGGATACGCTTGACACAATCGATTATCTCGAAAATCTCGAAATCATGAAGCCACGATTTTTTATTGGTCCACCTAAAGTGGCGCGACATTACAAAGTCGTGACTCTCTTACAGAAATCGTTGAATACCCGCGCGCTGGCGTGCGGTACGGATTCTCGTGTTTATAAACATTGACATATCACTGACTACTGTGGTAACCCTCGAGGTTTGATCGTGCAACCCTGCATCTAGGCTGGGTACCTACTTTTTCTCACCGGCGATAGAATCTATATATCCTTAAAGATATCACAATCGTTTTTTTTTCAAAAATTTGAATTTTTAAACTACTCGTTACTTCGATTACACGCCGCAACAATTCTCTTATAAGCGGATGGACAACACATGTTGCTCTGAGAGGTTTTCAGAAATTAATTTCTCGTTGGGAGTGCCGGATAGAATGGTTGAATTTTCCATGAATGTGTAGCTCAGATATAGAAGTATAATATAGGAAAAAATCAGAATTACGTAGAGTGGTCAGGGTTTTGGGTAAACAGCCTTAATGATTCAGTCACTAATGGAGATGGATAAGACCGTTGCTCGCGCTATTTTTAGTTCCAATATGGCCGCTTTTGAGATATATTCGTCGGGGCAGGTATCCAGTACTCACGTGGGTAATGAACAATTAAAAACCGGTAAATGTTCAACAAAATTCTCAATAATGTCAACATTATTGCTAAAGGGAATTTATAAACACATATGACAAAATATCAACAGTACACGGAGAGAAGTGTTTAGTAAAAATTACGAAATTTTTAGTTCGTTTACCGATTACGGAATCGACTCGAAAAATTTCAGTGATAGAGTATCGTAATTTTTATTTTTGAATATTTTATCATTTTAATTTCAAAATACAAATTTTTAAATAAACACCGCAGATAAATTCCGTCATTTTAGATGAAAATTACGGGAGAATTCCGTAAAATTTCCTACAACCACATTTCGCTCTGGAATTACGGAAAAGACATGTAAAATTTTAATTGAATATTTATCTCCGTGTAAATTGTTCGGTAACTATTAAAGAATATTTAATTGTTTCTAATTCCAGAGCGTCATTCTGTAATAGATAGTTAACATCGATCGAACACTTCCATGAGTGTATTCTTGCAGATATCCAATTAACTTCACCTAGATGAGAGTAAATTCGTGAACAGTAAGAAAGATTTTGGTGCCTCGAAGTGACGGCTCATTGACAAAATCCATTTGTCGGATCCTGCGAAAGTACGCGGAAGGGCAAAAGTGGCAATAACTGGGAGACGAGGAAAGAGAGCGGGAAAACAGTGCTGAAAGTTTGGAGGG